CTTGATTTTAAAACTTCTTTTTACTTTTAAGTATTTAAATATTTTTTCATTCGAGAAATTTAAGGCGAAAAAAGCAATTGCATGAGCTATGCATAAGGACAAAATGTGAAATCAAATGAATTTTGTTTAAGTGCACGGTCCTCCTCCCCCCCAAGTCCTTTACTGCTTGAGCATACCATAAAAATGTATCATCATCGGAATAATACGTGTATACAAAATTGTAGTTCGATTGGAAGAAAGTGAGTTAAAATATGGAAACACCTTTTTTTTTTTTTTTTTTGCAAATGGATACAACTAGTTAAATAAAAGCATACAAAAAGTACAAATTATGCACACCATTTCATCAACCAGATATTTACCAGTTTAATTAAGCTTTTATTTATATTGTCATTAGAGATAAGAAAAACACTAAGTTAAAATGGGTGTTCGTTCAACTGATGGCAAGTTATAGACACAAAGAGGGTCACAAAAATAACACAACTTATTTTAAATGAAATGATTCACACTCTAAGTAAATCATTTTAAAGAGACTGTGGATGCCAAATATACATTCCAACTGTGAAAAATCCTATCTAAACAAAAACAATTTCGTCTTCCATTGGCCAGAACCTACGTCACCTGCCCAATTCTCTCTTCTTCTTCTTCTTTTTTTTTTTTTTTTTTTTTTTTCTACGTGATCTTTCCCAGTTTGTTTTTCTCCAGACGATTTCAGCACTTGTGTTGTCGTTTCATTAGGTGGTCACCTCTGCAGCTCAATGGTTAGCGAGCTTCAGATTTTTTTCCTCCCTCTTATCCTTTTTCACTAACAGTTGTACATTAAATGAATATACAGGGAGAAGAAACAAAACTATTACAATTACTTTTTAAACACTTTGTTTATGTTTTCCACTTTTCTTTTTTTCCCCCTATTTTACACAAATATATGTTAGAATTTCCAGGGAAAAAATTACAGCACTTAGTTTTAAATTCTTATATATATAATATGTCAGAATTTTTTCATTATTTATTTAACATAAAATTTTATGATCTGTTTATTTCTATTTTTAATTAAAATTTATTACATTAATAAAAATAGCGAATATGAAGTCGTATCATTGAATCAGATGTAGCTCGTATGATAGCCGGATGACATGTCCTTTCTGCTGTTCAGAAACTTACATATATGAAAAAAAAGGCTAGAATTATAAACAAGGGAGAAAGAAACAAAAATGATTTAAGGATGCTTCAGATGAAAATGGTTATTGTAAGAGAGTTTAAAATAAGAAACGAATTATATATTAGTGACGTTATCGTGATTGAAGAATAACTGAGCTTTGATGGATGGATTATCACGACTTATTAATCTATAGTCAAATTTTCTGGGTAAATTAACCATATCAGTGTGAGACAAAAGAAAAGTGTATGATCATGATGCAGAACCGAATTTCTGACAAACAAGGGAATCTCTTTGTGATGATTCTTATTAAATAATTTTGGAAGATTTGTATTTTATTAATGGGGTTTTTAGCCACATAGTTCCATGTGGATGTCCGATTACTTGAATAAAAAGAAGTATTTTGTTAAAGAGAGAGAAGCAGTAATGACGACTTATAAATAGAATACATGAATTAATTTCTTGTCCAATATTGATTTGAAAAATTGCTTGTATGATTTTGAGAGTTAGTTTGTAATCGAGGATAACAGTCATGTGCTTAACTTCAAACTCAGATTCTATTAATAAAAATTTTAAGTTATTATGTTGCAGAAAGTTGATGTCTTTTTTTATCTCTTTAAAATAAGTATCTTTGTTTATATGATGTAAGCAAAGAAATGTAAGTCTGACTTTTGATTTGTGTAGGTAACTTTGTTCTGTTATTTTCATTAAATTTGTTTGGAATACATGTTTGAGACAATATTGCATATATATATATATAAAATATATATATATCGAAGTAGGGAATCTGAGAAAAATCCCATATGAACAAAACTGTAAAAATCTTACTTTGAATAATTAATTGTAATAGTATAATATTTTATTTAATGGATTGTTGCAATTTTTCAAAACACTGACGCAAACATTTTTAATCGATCACCTATTTTAGTCAAGTTGAAATCAATATTTATCGAAATAATATTCAAACTGAATCCTATTTCTCGTACTATAATTGAGATCTATTTCAAAAATGATAATATTTGTTTGAGTTTTAAATTTGGAATCTACGATTGGGAAAAACCATCCAGCAACGCATTCTGGCGGGGGAGGGGAGAATCCGCATTATAACATTTTCTTTTTCAATTTTTATTGATTTTAGGGACAACCCAAAATAATTCCAAATAAACTGAAGTAAAAAGAGCTTTATCTTTAATTTTCGAAGATCGTAAGATCAACAATTAACGTAACTACTCAACCCAAAGTAAGAACTCGAAGTTATTATTCGCCAAACGAATTTTTCGCTCGTATGCTTTTTCCATAATGAAACTGAGCATATAATGCGACCTGAAACGAGCTGTGTTGCTGCTTCTGTGTCTGTGTACAATAATAATAACTTAGCATCAACGTCAATACAGGCAAAAAACATCAGTATATACTTTAATAAAAATAATGAAAATTAAAGATTCAAAAGAGACGATCAAATCTTTTTCATCCTAATTACATATCTATGTTACACAAAATGTTTTGATGAGAAAGAACAAGAGGATCAGTTTCATTTATTACATATGTAATCCACGATAAAGGGGGAAGCCATATATATATATATATATTCCCGCCACCACTTGTTGGCAGTGAGCAAACGCACTCCCACATGTAAGTTGCTGTAGATAACAGGGAGGAAATCTCAAAAAGGCCCATGAATCCATAAAATCCCATTCAAAAAATTATTTTTTAGCAAAATGGTTAATATTAAATCACCATTTAAACTAGGAACACACTAAGTAATCCCGCATTGCCTTCTAAAATAATAATATTTCTTAAAAATATCACGATTTTAACTTAACTTGTCAAAAAACCCTAAGCCAAATATACAAATTTCAAAATTCTAAGAACTTTCAACTATTAATATAATTTAATGAGATGTACTCTCAGCATTTCTTAAGTTTTTCAAATGGCGCCTTTGTCATAGTTATTATTCTGCAGAAATTTGCACAGAATTCTTTTATAATACAAAGTACTGAAATTAAAAATACTGCTTAAAAATTTCCATAATTTTGTACAAATTAAAAATAATATCAAATTTAAAGTTAATTGAAACCATTAAAAATATTTATGTAATAATCAAGTAAAATATACATTGTATCGCCATCTATTGACTTAAAAATGAACTATTTCAATTGAAGTAGAATTTTTATAGTGAAGCTTATCTGCAAATCTAATCGAATTTAAAATTAAAATATCAATAATAGATATATTGTAGCTCAAGTATATTAGATAAAAATTAATTATAAATATTTCTATTATGTTTTAAATGCATTTTAAAAAAAACTTATTGGATAATCATACACAATAGAAGTTTCATAAAATTCTTAAAATTTAAAATACTTATAAGTTGTTTTTGTGAGTAGTTCGTTATTTCATAGTATAAAATTAATAATTACATTTATTTATATATATACATATATGTATATGCGTATATTATGATCCCAGAATGGAACTTTATTTGTTTGAAAAACACCAGAAACATTACTATTGACTTTTTTATCTATACATTCTAATTTTATGTCATCAGAGTCCAATATTTTTTAATTATTATTTTGATTTAATTTAAATTTATGTAGGATAAAATGAAAGATTAGGTTTATCCTCTGAAACATTATTATAATAAAAGATGATAAAGGAAATCAAAAATCAAGAAATCTATAAACCATAAAATTATTTTATCTGTTTAGTTTTATTCACAAAATTGCTTATATGTATTTGAAAAATGTGAATATATATTGGCTAAAATATTTCTCCTTGCGGTACTCCTTTATTATGTTTATGTCTTTTGTCGTAGATTTAATGTAATTTTCTTATAGAACAAGATTAACTAAAGAAATTAATTTTTATAAAATAGATAACATTTTTTTTGGGGATTATTTTGCTTTTTGTACAGCCTTTTTAAGACATCTTGTGAAATCCGTAGATATCCAAGTACAACACTCCCTCTATAATCCTGCGTTTCATCTGTCTTGCACTTCCAATAATCCGATGTATTTGCACCGGCTTACAAATCATAGAAAATTATTTTATTCTTCTCATTTAAATAATATAATGTAAGGTATCGAATTAAAACAGAACGTTTTGTTTGTCGTTTTATCTCATTTCATGTGTTCAGGATTTTTAGTTCATTTCATGTATTTGTGATCTAAAATAAATTTTATTTGATAACACATGCTTTTTTCTGATTAAAAAATGCGTTATTTATAGCGATTTTCCCAATAATCTGGTGGACTCTGGTCTGATATCTGCAGGATTACTGAGAGAGTATAGAATATCCGAATTTTCTCTTACCTGATATATTGTAATTTATTTTCTATTGATTGTTCTCCAAATGTACGAAATTCACGTATATGTTAATCTATTGAGCGAAATAATTTATATTCTATTTTTTTTAACTTAATTCTCCGTCTAAAACAAAAACACATACATTTCTTACTTTAGAATCCGACGTACAAGTCTTCTATGCTATACGAACTAACAATTAAAAATACGTGCAGTTATAAAAACAATATTAATAACGTTATAATCTCTGTTTGTTTTTTTTTCTTTCTTTTGAACATCTTATGGATTTTCATTTCATTTTTAAGCAACAATAAGGATGATTTAAAAGTATTAATTTTCTACAGAAAATTTTCCTATATCGAAAATTTTTAAAAATTTATCATTACAAAAATTAATGGATCAAAAATATCTGATATGGAACTGAAAAAGAAAGAAATGAAATAAATTTTTGAAAACACGGAATATTTTAAATTTAATCACGCTTATCTTCTAGAAAATGCAAAAAAAAAAAAAAAAAAGGTATTTGTGCATGGGATTGGGGGGTAGTTGACAGGATTCGAACCTGCGATGGGATTATTAACCCACAGACGATTCGGTGCCTTTCGTCTGTTTCCTTGACCACTCGGACACAACTACCCGTTTCATTTTGTTTGATATTTTATATTAAATGTAATACGCATGTCTGTTCTTTCTTTTATCAATATCATTTTTGCGTCATTCCACAACACTCGATTTTTAAAACTGAAAGCGGTTAATTATTAAAAATTCGACATATTTTAAGCTGAATGGAATAAAAATTGAAGTGAAAGTTAAATCATTAAAATAGATATATTAAAAACTAAATGTACTAAATATGAAGTGAAACGGTAAATTACAAAATTGAATATTGAACAAAATAGTAAAATTTATCAACGCGTTTATGGATGGAACAGCATAAATAAGATATTTGAATTATATCATTGTTATATAGGCTAAATTACCGAGTGTTTATGTTTAACATTAGAGCCAAAAACATTAAGTACAATGTGAACGAATATAGTAACATTAAGTAAGATGGAACCGTAAAATCAAGAAATAGAACATGGCTGGAGAAAATGTAATTCACATACTGAAAAGTTGTCCTTACAACAATTTATACCCCTCTTAAAACAATAGCCCTCCTTGGGTGAATATTAATCAGAATTTTTCTTGATTCAATGAAAAACACAGAAGCGTAGCTTAGAAATCTAGAATTTTTCCATGAGGTGCTGCCATCTATAAGATATTGTTAGAACTATAAGTGCATGAAAATTTAAATTAATTTAAAAATTGAAAGGATTTATTTTTTAAATTTTAAATATCATTAAAAGCTGGATTAAAAATGTTGCATAACATAATTTCTTAATATTGCATATCAATTGGATGTAAACCCAATTTTTAAATATACTTGTAAAATTTGTCAATTACTTTAATATCTTCGTGCAGTGTCAATTACTTTTATATCTTGTTAACAATTATTTTCTAGAAAGTAACGATTTTGAATGCAATGAAAAGATCCAGCGATAGCTTGATTTACGAGGTTTCAATTCATTTTAAAATGAATTTCACTTTGATTTTAACATAAATAGTTAGAACCGATAATTAAAAGATTATTTCGTAACTAAATTTAAGTTGCAATCAAAATTAAAAGTGTCAGGGTAGCTAAAAATATGAGAGATCGCCTTCTCATGAAGCACTTCTAGGAATAACAAAAATATAGCAATCTGATGCCCACATCAGAATCGATCACTGCCGCAGAAGTTAGTAGAGTTGGACCCTGTCACACGCGGTTTTACTATAACTCCCTCGATTAATAATTGTCTGCAATATAATTCTTAGATATTTAATTTTCTTCAGTCATCTATCAAGGATCGGTAATAAAACAAATAATTCGATTTTCCTAAAAGACAGGGTTATTCAAAATGATTCTTCCGATTTCAAAATTCCATTTTTTTTCCCCCTTCAAAAATACTCGACACAGAATAAATAATAAATGAATACGAAGTCTTATATTGGGAAAAATAGATGGCCCTCGTGGGTGGGTTCTTCGTAAAGATATTTGACGAAAGCTGTTTTATAAGCAATCACTGAGCTATCTCGCAGTTGATCAGTTGCAGTAGACCCAATGACTCGATGTTACACAGTTGGCCACCTCATGTAGGCATTTCTTCCTTTTAGGGTTTGTAAAAGATAAAGTGAATGTTCCACCATTACCCACAAATTTATATGAATTTAAACAACGGATTTGTACTGATGTACAATCAATTCCCACTGGCACATAAAAATGAGTTTGGCAAGAATTTACTTATCGAACTGACGTTATAAGTGTAACCAAAGGAAATTATATCGAACACCCGTGGAAAAAACTTCCATATTTTCTGTTTACATTTATGTATTACTCATCATTCTGTGTTGTTTATAAAAATATGGAATTTCGAAATGAGATGAATCATTTTGAATAGCCATGTATTTTAAATGTTATTTTAATAAATATTTTTGTAACAGCCAATTGACCTACGTATTGTAAAAATGGCATACATAAATATAAAAAAAAATGAACATAAATTTATTTTCACGCATTAATCACGAACTCTGTCATTGAACACAACTGTTCGCAAAGCAGAAAATTCGTATCGATGTTGGAACTTATATTATCGCTCAATTTAAATTGATACTATAACTAGATATTAAAGATTCTATAATTTATATATATATATATATATATATATATATATATATATATATTATTTTTTTTTCTGTTTTTAATGTTAACGGGTTCTTTCGCGTCTTTCCAATGGAATAAAACTTGGGGGAATTTTATTTGGTTTTGTTTAGTTTTATTAGCTTGGCGCTAGAAGTAACACGAGGGTTATTGGCTTAATGCCCAAAGAGAAGGATGAAGACAATACTGTATATGTGCTGTAATATAACACTTTTCAAACTTTGCAATAATTTTATTTAGTTCATGAATTTATTCAATTGTATTTCATAGATGGAAATTAAAAATTCTTATTGATGTTATTACTATTTTTGTTTTTAATTACTTTTATAACGCGTTCTTTCTCCTATTTCCAATCAACTGACCCTTGGGGAATTTCATATGATGTTATTTGATTTGAGAACCTCGCCTTGTGTATAAACTTCGCCTTGTGGAAATTAGATAAAAAAAAATATTGAAGTATAGTGATGCAATAATATTTATAAACTGCGAAGAATTTAATAAGAGTAATTAGTTTAGTTTTTAATAACGTCACACTAGAAGCAACACAAGGGCATTGGCGACGAACCTCGTGATTTTGAACCTCGGTCAAGTGACGAAGACGACACCTGAGCTGGCACCCCCTCTCCTAACTTCCACACTACGCCAACGAGTGGACTTTGGGACCCGACAGATCAACGTGCATCAGCCCCGGCTACACGGCAGGTCTTTGGTAGCCAAGGATCGAACCTGCGACTGAACGAAAACCGCCGGTCACAAATCCGAAGCCATGACCACTAGGCTACCGCGGCCACTTAATAAGAGTAGGGGGTGGCGAGAGAGAGATTGAAAGTGTTGACTCTGTGATTAGAATGAAGGGATCATCGGTGAATAGATATCTAGTAGGATCCACACAGATTACACGTTTAGTAGCTTGTATCCGGATAGTCTGGTGGTAATATAAAGCAGCATTTCATAATATTAATCTTCATGTCTAATATTGATATAATACAGGTATTAAATTTTGAATATTCGAAAATTCGAATAAAATTAATTTGATTTCGCTTATCTTCTGACTACTTGATTACCGACTGAACTGTATTTAATAGTGATGACACAATTAAATGAGAAACGGGATGTTGCAATATTATGTTTTCATTCGGTTATGTTAGATTTTTTTTTCCGACATAATTTTAATTGATAGTTCGATTGAAAGTTATTTCTTGATATTTTACTTTTCTCTTTCTTTTGTACATTGAAATTATTTTTAACCATATTACACTAGTAGCAACGATCAACGATTCGTTATGAATTTGTGTCTATATATGCAAAAATTCTAAAAAAAAATTTAAATAAAATTTAGAATTTATTGAACTTTTAAATCTTGATGTAAGATTTCGTTTCTTACCAACTAAAGAGTGTTCGATATGAAAGATTTCGAAAGACGCGCAATCATTTTAAATGTTTAGTTGTTGCAGATGCTCAGAACAATGAAGTGATTAAAGATCATTCCTGGCTAAATAGTGTAATAATATGAGGGAGGTATTTGTGTGATCATATTTGATATGATTCCAGTTTTTTTTTTTTTTTTGCTTTATATTATTAAATTATATAGGAGCAAGACTTTTTTAAAAACGCAATATTCAGCAAAAATTATAAAATATAATTTTTCTTCATATTATTATCAACAATATGAAGAAATTTTATTGATATTATATCAATAATATCAACGTTTATTGATATTATTGACGTAATTTGTGTTTGGCATTTGTGTACAAGCATGACTACAATGACGATGTTTGAAACAGGAAAACAGAATACAGGGGTAATGAGTGAGTGAGTGAGTGAATGTTAAGTTTATATTGGCGCAAGAGCCAGATATGGCTATGCTGCGCCAAACAAGATTAAACTGTGGTCTAGACGTGAAGGTGAAAAAAAGTAAAAGTGGTTGACAAGAAGGAGGGTCGAAAATAGAGAAAGATCGCTAGGGTATCCCGGGAGTGCGTTACCCATGTTTACCAAAGACAGTAAACCCCATGGGAAAGAAAGATCACTAGGGTACCTCGGATTCGTGAAGCCCATACTTAGCTGAAGAAGGCAAGTCCCTGAGGTCCCCTAATATAATCCCCAGGGGCAATACCCCCAGACGCTGGGTACCCATTTTAGTCGCCTTTTACGACATGCATGAGCTACAGTGAGACTATTCTGTCATCCCCGGTCACCACACGGGTCAATACAGGGGTAAAAAATGAAAATGTTATTTATTACATGTCTTTTTAATTGATGTAATTAAAGTTTTAATTACTTAAAAAAATGTTTTTTTTTAACGGGCTTCTGTATTTTTTATTTAGACAGAAATTTAATCGCAAGAGATTTAAAATTCGATTCAAACCGATCTTTCCCTTCGCTTTTTCCTGATTTTACCATCATATAAATACAGACCAAATTATTGAAGATGATGTAAGGTGGTTCCTTTTTAATGATCTTCGCAATCGTTTTTAGGCTGAAATAGCCTAGTGGTCATGGTCGTGGGTTCGAGACCGGCAGAGTTGGTTTGTTGTGGGTTCGAGCTTCGATACCATTAAAGACCCGCCGTTTAGCCGGGGCTGATGCACATTGAATCTATCAGGGCTAAAGTCCTCCCGTTGGCATGGGGTGGAAGTTGGAAGAGGAGGTTCCAGCTGATGTGTAGTCCTCGTCACTTGACCGAGGTTCAAAATGACGAGATAGGTAGCCAATAACCCATGTGTTGCTCCCAGTGTGACGTTAACAAAACCAATAAATAAATAAATCACAATTGTTTTGACGTATTACATGTGACCCCCTCAAACTCCAGAGCCAAGAAGTTATACAAGTGATTCAGACAGTTCTATAATCAAAAGCAATTCTTACAATTTTTTTTTTTTTTCTTTTCTTTTTC